AGGAGGAAACATCACTGACCGACAACAGTTTGAGTTTGGACAAACGTGTAAGTAAATGGTGCTTATTTTGTGAAAACCTTTTTTTTAATATATAAATTTTGCATATTCAAATAAATTATCACTGCTATTAAAATACAGTTTAATCACTAACATGTGTTTAATTACACAGAAATGATAGAATATGTTTTTACTAATTTTTCTCTAATTTGCAGGGATGGTAACTAATGAATCATCATTATTTACATATCGTGTCGGTGAGTCCTGGGAATTGTTCAATTATCCAGATTTCACTCCATACTTCATTGATGAGTTAATAGATAAGTTTGAAGAAAAAGATAAAGACTTTCTAAACATGACACGCACTGCATGTGACAATAACATAGATTGCGTCTATGACACGTTGGCAACCAGGGCAATGGAGATTGGACTGTACACTAAAACCAAATCAACTGTTTTTGAAGAAAGTGCAGCACAGCTAGGTATGTTACATTTTTCTATATACAGATTCAATAACATACAAGAATACTGAACCTATGATACTTATGTTCTAATGTTATGGAATTATTTCAACTCACATTTCGCTGTGTCTTTTCAATAACAGTAAATTATCCACCTCGTGTGAATGGAACTGACGTGTTGCGAGCAGAAGTCAATAAATCTACAACAATACAACTCACCGCTGAAGATCCAAATGGCGATTTAGTGAAGTTTAGGTTTCTAGAAGAAATAGATGGAGCTGAGATCGGGGAAGAGAGTAAGTTGACCAGTCATGTTTCCCCTTTCCTGTAACGTATAGTATATGGGTAGGTAGTTAATAATGATTCTAATAATATATGCATAAAAGATATCATACCGGCCGATTAGTCGGTCAGATAGAAAATATGAATAGTAAGTCAGTAAACTAAGTCAGTCAGTCGGTCACACACTCTCATTGACTCTCACTTTACCACTCCCACATTTGAACTCATACACTCACTCACTCACTCACTCACTCACTCACTCACAAGGAGACATGGATAGGAAGGTCACATAGCAAGTGTGTGAAGGTGAAATGGT